AATAATCTAAATCTTTTTTTTTTTTAATTATCAGATGTACAGAAAAATCTCATATCTCACCATATTATGTACATCTCGTATCTCACTGTATAATGTGCAATGTACATCTCATATTTTGCAACACTGACCAAGTTGAAGCACAGAACAAATTCAAGACGTCATTGTCTGACAAGGCTTATATTCACACACATCTGTGAGTACATAAGTATTTCTAAGTTGCAAAATTTTAAATTTCAAAGATTAATGTCTCCATGCAAAAAATAGTTCGTAAATGCAAAAAAAAAAAAAAATCTCTATAATCCACAAGAGCTGACAGCCATACAATCAACTGAACAGATATCATTAAAGCATCACATTAGAAAATTTAATAAAAAGTAAAAGTTACTTAACTTTAAAAGTGAGCTTACCTTGAACAATGTAAGAGAGCAAAACTGCAGCAGTGCTATCATTGCATTGTAAAGCACCACTTATGAAATCCTTTTTGATTTGCAAACCAAACAGATATCTAAAGAAGGTAAGAGAATATTTGAGAAAAAAAAGGTTCAATATTAATTCAACAAATATACTAAGTTTGATTTAAAAAAAATTAACTATTCCACATCCTCTCATTTTAAAATAAAAAGTATAGAGTTTGATTAATCAAGTAATTTTTCCGAGCCAGTTATTTTATGACTATTATACATAATAAATGTGATAATGTTAAATGTTATAATGTTAAAACTATATATATAAAATAAATGTTATTATGTAAAAATGTGAATCCAACCTTTTTTAACAGTTATTGTCAACCAAGGTGACCAGAAAAGAAAAAAAAATCCCTGATTTTTCCAGTTTGGTTACATCAAATTATCTCAATTTTTTAACACATGGAGTATATATTTTTTTTAAGTTATCTTATTTTCATGTATCAAATACATTACAAAACATTTACATATTCCATTAGGGACAAAAGTAAACATTTATTTTTTTAAAAAAAAAGAAAAAATCGTTTACTGTTTAAGGAGTATTTAAGCTTCAGCTGAAGTCGATTATGTTGCATTCTTTCTTTCTTTCCGTTACTCATTTGTCACTCTGTTAGTGAGAGTATGTCTACCAGTTTAATAAGTTTTGAAAATAATTTTATTGCTACAGAAACTTCGTTTTTTATTTGTTTCGTTGACAAACAGATACAATGATATTCTGCGACAATCTCAGATGTCAGTTTTGAGGTACGCGGAATTCCACAAAAAAAATCCCATGCCCCACTACTAGTTCCTAGAACAGGAGGGATTATACGAGAAATACGGATTTCAGGGATAGACCTATAATATAACCACCCCTGGTGTTTACACTATTGCTATATACATACATATACAGAACAGAGAGAAATAATTCTTGTGAATTACCTTGTGAATTCATCCTCTAGTTACACAGGGACTGGAGTGTAAAACTTAACACAAAAATACATACTTGGAAAAAAAGAATGCAGCTGTGAACATAATGGTTTGAGGACATCCAACCAGTACTGAAATTCAATAAATGAATAGAAAAGATTAATTGAAAAATTGAAAGTAGAAAACAAACAGTAAAACATTTTACAAGAACTTTAACGGCAAAAATCTTGTTTGAAGGTTTTAACAACTATAATTTCTCATTATTTAAGCAACTGAAAAACAGATCAGCGCCTGTGAATCAAATGAATTATTGTAAATGACACTAGACGATTATCTAACTATAATGTGTCCTACATAGTGCTTAGATTTAATGTTCAAGAATTGCAAAGAAATAAAAAAACAATTAAAAAAAAGATTTTATTTTTTGAGTTCCATTCTAGACGATAATTATATACTTATCTTAATAAGCAGGATTCGAAATTAGTAGCAATAAGTTGATCCAGGGCTGTTGATAATATTTCTCATAATCTGAACTAATTAAAACACTTTACACAAATTTTAATTTGTTATAACAATTTCTAACAAAAATTGAATCGAAATTACCTTTAAAATACTATTTAAACACATGCAATTATAAGGAACTAATAATAAGAAAAAATATTTCCAATTGATATCCTAATGTTCATTTAATGTTCATTAGCTATAAAAAAGGTCTTCGGTTTAAGGTCTACAAAGACACAAATGAGACTAAATTCTTCAGCAATAATTTCTATCGCAAAATAATTTAAAATGAAGGGTCTATGAACTCTTTGCATCTGCTAAAGTTTATCTGGGCTAAAGCTTTTAAAATGCAAGTTAAAAATATAAACTTACTTTTTACAATGCATTGATAAAACAAGAGGTAGTTTAAAATACAGAGGGCTGCACGAGGATTAATGTATCGACTAAACAAGAAGTAGTTTTGCTTAAAAATTATTACCTATAAGTTCAATTCATTACTGTCCCACTTTCTATTTCAATTAAATTTATAGCATTTAATTTTGAATATTTATTTAAATTATATATTTTATTACTAAATCTTGGAATTTTTTAATTTAAATATATCTTGCAAAGAGCAATATAAAACAAACAGTTTTCAGAGATAAATTTTGCTAGTAGAATGGATAATTTAACCTCTTAACTGCCTGATTTATTTTACCAAAATTTTGACAAAAAAAAGGCACAGAGTAAACCAGCTGCAACTGAGGAACATCAGGATGAGCACATTTTTACACTCTAACACTCTCAATGTATACATACAATGTATAATATACAATGTAATGTATGTTATGAAAGAAAAAACTGAGAATGACGTGCTAGAACAGTAGAACAGAATGGAGAACAAAATAAAAATTAATAATCATAAATTTAAAAAAAAACTTTTTTATTTTTTATACATAAAATATGAATTAAAAGCTGATGCACTAATTTTTATAAAGAAAAACTACAATTCATAGATATTTATTTATGACATTTGTTATATCTGTCATTTCCAGAAAGTAAATAATAAATAAATATATATTTAATTATGCTAACTTTTGCATTTGATATTAAGAGAAAATTTGTTTAATTTTATTACTAATTTTGATTCGGTCTAGACTGGGAAAAAGAGTATTATAATTGCAAGATAATATTGTGTAAATAATATTGTGCAAAGTATTGTATAATATTATTTATTTACAATGAATTTAGTATTTATTTTCACATGTTATTCTAATTTCAGGGCATTGAAAGTTTTATCAATATAAACATCAAATAAATATACAATACATTGTTAGATCAGATTTTTTTTATAGTTTTAGATATAGTTTTAAGAAAATACAAATAAAATGAAGAAGAGGAACTAATTCAGTCTTTATATGCAAAATCACAGCAGGCATATCATTGAAAGGGCATCTATCTGTTGAAGGTGTTCAATGATGAATTACAAATTCTATCACTGAAATTAAATGCTAAATATTTGCATATTTAATTTAAAGAGGACACACAGGTTTCAATGAACAAATTTACAAGTTGATTTTAACTAAAAATCAACTTTTTCTCTTATTAAATATAACACTACAGCACGTTTGAGAATCGTTTATCTTACAGAGCATCTGCCACATTTTAGAGTTTCAAATCCATGACTAATTCTACGAATTTTTCATGACTTACCAAAGTTACTATTTTCTCCACAAAAACACAACAATAAATTTCAAAAAGCATTATAATGACATTAATTGAAATGATAGGTATAACAAAACTATTATATTCTGCATCTTCAAATTTATTGATTTTAAACTTAAAAAACAGATTAAAGAAAGAGTTAAAGCAATAAAATTGCTGAAAAAAAATACAAAAGCAAATAACTAAATAAAGTTAGATATATGTAGTAATTTAAATCTGTTTCATTTATTCTTAAAAGTAAGTGTAATATAAAAAGTGAAAACTAGAATTTAAATTGATAAAATAAAAAAACAAATAATAAATAAATAAAAAATTTCTGAAATCACAGAAGTTTTAAAGATAATTCACTCTAGAAATGATGTTNTTTTGAAAGAACATAAAAACATTTTATATTTTAATAGAATATGACTATGAGTGGGTATTTCACTATAAATTTAGATATTTGGAACATTGGAACACTGTGAAATTGGGAGAGTGGTTAAATTCCATTTTTAAAATTACATTTTTCAGCGACCTAAACCCATGACTTTCCAAGATTTTTTTTAAAAAAAAGTTAAACTCACGACATTTCATAACAAATTTTGTTTAATACCGAAATCCATGACTTTTCAGGTGTGCAGATCCCTGATCTTAACAAAGCTAAATAGATTTGAACGGCAAATGAAGCCAAAGCTTAGTGTCTGTATATTGACCACAGCACAAGCAACGTCAATTAGAAATTAGCACTTAGTTCCCACTAATATCAAGCATTTCAAACCTGTAC